ATCGAACGAAAAATCAAAAAAATTAAGGATTTAAATGGTGAAAATGGATAAAACAATAAATCGAAAAATCAAAAAAAGATTGGAGAATCAGAAAACTGAATGTATGAGGAATCGAAAGATCGAAAATTTTAAAAATCGAAAAATTAAAAAATGAAAAACTTAAAAAATCGAAGAATTGAAAAATTGAAAAACTGAAAAATTGAGAAATGCAGACGTCGAATAATCCAAACATCGAAAAGTGGAGAAATAGAGAAATGAGAGAATAAAAAAAAAAAACTAAAAATCTAAAAGTCCAAAGGTCAAAAAATAGAAAAATTTAAAATTTCAAAAATCGATTAATTGAAAATTTATTATTTGTCATAAAAAATAATCTGACGTCACCAAGTTCTTCGTGGGGATAAATGCATTTATTTTCTGAGACGATCAATAAAATAAATGTGTGCATGCAGCGTGTCCTTTGTTCACCTTTTTCTAAAAAATCCAAGCACATTACCTTAGCACAAATACTTTGGCAGTATTCAACAACCAATTTATTAATATAACCCGACGCGGAAACAGAAAACCCACACTTTTGTATTCTAGAACCTATGAAACCGCACGAAGATATAAACTTAGACGTTCAGTAAAATGACCCAATTTCTTTACTTTATTATCGCACAGGAAGCAATCAAAACTCTTATCTGCTAGCATAATATTAACAAACATCAAGTATGTAATTCAAAAAACCTTCATTAACTAAAAAATTTTATGGGCAACTTAAAAGGATATAATATAAACATTATCACTTTGTGGCAGGTTTCCGTATTTTAAAACTGTTTTCAATCGAAATAAATGGTAAAATATACCACTAGCAACAATAATCAACGCCTAGACGAAAACGGAAGACCCATTTTTTCGTACTCTGGGGGTCATGAAACGTCGTGAAAACACGATAGTGGCAAGTTCCTCGATGGACTCTATTATACCGGGTGTCTGGAAAATGGCGGATTAACTCTTCAATACGTTATGTACGGGGTTTTGGGGAGTCCCAAAAAAAAATATTTATGATACAGTAAAATTGGCAACACCGCACCCACCTCTTCGTAACGATGGTGACTGAAATCCACTTTTTATTATTATTAACAAAACAAGCTGATATTTTTGATTAATAAACCAAAAAAAAAAATTAATAACATATTTATAAATTATAAAATAACGCAAATAAGATACCCTCTAGAAAAGAAATGGCGGATGGGGATAGTAGCTGCTAAGATAAAACTGATTTTGGCAAATGATATATCCTCTAAGAAAAGAGAGGGTGGGTGGGTGGGGGTAGTAACTACTAAGATATGACTGATTTTGGCAAATGAGATATTCTCTACGAAAAGAGAGGGTGGGTGGGCGGGGCAGTACCTGCCAAAGTAAAACTGATTTTGGCAAATGAGATACTCTTTAAGAAAAGAGAGGGGGTGGGTGGGCCTAGTACCTGTTAAGACTGATTTTGGCAAATGAGGTACTCTCTAAGAAAAAAGAGGGAGGGTGGGCGGGGCTAGTACCTGTTAAGGTAAAACTGATTTTGGTAAATGAGATAATTTACAAAAAAAATCTCCATGGGCTCCCAAAATAATACACCATGGACACCCAAAAGTCTTCCGAATTAAAAAAAAAAAAAAAAAAAAACATTGCGGCACTCAAGATTTTTTCAAATTCGTAAAAAATAAAACACTAGAAGCCCAAAAAATTTTTTCAAGTTCATCCAGCAACAAAACACCAGATTCCTTTAAATTTATCCTAAAATAAAACAACAGGGGACCTAAAATTAACTCCAAACATTTTTAACTGCTTAGTCGATTTTTGCTGATTTGTACCTTCGCTAATTATTCTAACTGAAATAGTAATTAAACATGGTCATGGACGAGAGAAATATTAACTAAACGTTTTATTAACTACTTACTGTGATAGTGAATGTGTTACTTAGTTGTTAAACGTATGTAGCTTATAACTCTACCAAAACGTGAGAAGGAGTTTTTGTACTATTTTTCCCAGACTCACCAGTTGATTGTTAAGAGCGTAGCGGAGAGTTAATGCGCCATTTTCCATATACCCGGTATACAGGCGCGGATACAGGATTTCGTTTAGGGGGGGGGGGGGGGGCAATTTTTGTGCGATTTTACCTATGTCCCAGAAATTCGTTCTAAACAAAAAAAATTATAAAATTTTAGCTAGTATTAAAATTTAGCTGAATTTTTCAGAATTTTTAGATGAATTTTTCAAAAATTAAATTTTCCATTATGTATTACCTCCATTACGCAAATTTCGATCCATTCACGACGATTTTCGAAATTTAACTAAATACATTTTCTTGTAGACTTTGAAGTCATTTTAATTTTTAAAAATTTCGAAAAATTCTAATTTCACACCGAATTTTCCGAAAATATTGCTCGGTTACCATTAACATGCCATATTTTCGGAATCAGCACGTCGGGATACACATATATCTCTTAAAATTTTGTCAAAATTTTTAGAAAATCTTTTTAAAAATAAAGTTTTCCTCATGCAAATTTCGAACCATTTTCGACGATTTTCGAAATTTACCTAAATACTTTTTCTTGTAGATTTCGGGCCTCACTTCTTCGATAACTTCAACCTTGTTTCCAGAATTAGTTAATTAATTCAGTGCATTGAAATATCGCGATTTTTAAAAATTTCAAAATATTCCATACAACATATGCAGAAAGATCTTGCGTCATTTTTGCAAGTAGCTGCGTGTTTCCAAGTTCAGTTCGGATTGCAGAGTTTTTGTTCGGATTAAAGAAGCATCGACTTCAAATAGCCTCTGTTCGATAACATTTGATTTTGCGAAATTTTATAATTTTACCGCTGTAGATTAAAAAAATATATAACAGTAGTAACAGTGTAAGAAACTCATGAGAGAATCGAACGCGTTACAAGTCGGAAGTTGTCGACGCATTGCGCTATCGAATACCCTTGTGCGAGTTCTGCGTATATTGCTAGAATAGGTTGTTGAACAATTTCATTTTTTTTGCAAAAATTTGGATACCTTTGGGAAAACCTCGAAACGGATTCATAAGCCACAAGTACAGGACCATGTTATTTTAAAAATTTAAATCCTACTAATTATGAAAAATTTTGAGGGAAAGTTATCACATTACTCAAGTTTTAAATTTTTAACTTTTTAATTTTCAGCTTTTTAGTACCTAAATAGTTTTAACAATTAATGCTTTCATTTTGTGTCAGCACGTCGGCAGAAAATGGAAGTGTTTTCACTCGAAATATGTATGTAATTAAGATAATAAATTCATTACTCCACTTACAGTCGATATTGAAACATAATTTAGATGTAGATTTAAATGAATTACATCGACTGTGTGAAATGTAATCGTCTACCACTAGATTGTTCAGACACCCGTACAGTTTATAGTTTCAGTCATTAATTAACAGTGGTAGGCATACCGGCACTTACATTAACTATAAACGGATGTAATTTAGTCTTTTAGTACACATTACCTGTATTGCTACTAACTTTTTTCATGTGCAATAAATGGCTAATATTAATGTCTTTGCTATGGAAATTTTCTGTAACCGTCGAATTATTGAAAAAAATTTAACAGACTTTTCAATATACTTTTTACTTTCCGAGCGTCAGGAAGTACAGTAATCGAGTCCATCGGCCGAATTGCCACTTTCATATTTTCTCGAACCTCTAGAGTACGAAAAAGTGGTCTCCCGTCTCCGTCCGTCTGTCTAATGTCTGTATCCATTTTTAGTAAAATAATACATTTTTGGAAAAAATTCTAGACTGAATAACAATATTTTGCAATATAACTTTGAATTGCTCAGAAATCTTGTAAATATTTTAAGGTTATCGTAATGATGGTTAATCGCTAAGCAAAATTTATTCGTTTACCTCCTCCCAAAAAATTGATGCCGTCATCTCAAGATTTTGCCGAATAAATCTGTATTTTAACTTATAAGGATTCTCATAAAAAAATAATATTCGCATAATGAAGTTTCATAATTTTTCGAAAAAGTTGGATTTGTTTTATTGTAGCTCAGGGGCGAGGGAAATTCCATGGAAATGACTTTGAACCAATTTTTTATTTGTGCATAAAGCTGGCGAAAATCACGATAAAAAAATAATTGCAATAATTTTTAACGTTGTTATGTGTATTCATATGAGAGTCAGTACAAGTAGAGACCCTAGATATACTTTGGAAAGTATATCTAGGGTCTCTAAGTACAAGCATACAACGATGCGAAATTTATTTTGGTTGTATTCTGGTTCCATTTAATATTTTTGATACCAAGAAGACATGAGCGACGTTCAACTGGGTACTTTTATCTGATCGTACTATTTTGCGTACAATTTAAAACAAAAAAACCATAAAACCCAGACGTGAATAATCAAACAGACTATTAGAATGTTGTAAATGAAAACAAACTACTAAAATTAATTAAATACAATTAACACTATCAACAGTAAAAAAAAAGATACGGAACTTTAGTATTGTTACATTAAATGAGAAGCAACAGTTAAACCTTGAAATCAAAATTATACGCATATATAAATGATAAAAAGTACTGTATTATTAACTTTTGCGTGAAATATGAATTTTATTGGTTGCGTGCAGTTTAATAATGCTTATGTAAAACCTCACGAATTATTTGGTCTGTGTTTTATATTATTATTAATCTAGAATAATTTAAAACGGACCCCTCTGTAATTCTATGTACAGAAAAAGCACTTGAACACCCATATTTTTACTTCCCGAGCGTAAGTATGCTAAGGAAGTATTGTAATAGGGTCCAACCGACTTTCATGTTTTCTCAACGTTTCGTGACCCCTAGAGTATGAAAAAATAGGTTTTCCATTTCCGTCTGTATCAACACATGTTGTATTTCTTTAAAATGTCGTATTTCTTTGAAAAAGGGCGATCTATTAATTCCTCCATAAAAGGATAAACATCTCTATTATTAATTATTAAAACGGTTTCACTTACTTGTTCCCTTGATTGAACTTCTGCAAAATATGTCAGGTCTTGATTATTTACTGTTACCTTGCCAGTTCCAGGCGATCTTATAGTAACATGTCCGCGAGCTCGTTTTCTTAGGCACTCTAATAATTAAAACAATAAACAATCAAAATTTTTTTAATAAATTTAAGAAAACCTACCATATGTTGTAATAAATGCGCGTCCATCAGCATCATATTGCGGTTTGGGAGCCTGATAAGTTTTTTCATGACTCATTAACGGTTTTCTGTATTTGAAAAGAAAATCTTTTGATCTATAGGAGTAAGGTAATTTATACAGTCTATCCATGGTGGTACTAAAGGTTTCATAATCTTTATCACCAATAGTTTCAACCAATTCAGCTTCTAATGATTCTTTATCAATCCATTGAAAGCCTGACATATCTCTAAAAAAAAAAAAAAAAATAATTTCATCATAAAAATTATAAACTAAATAAAAAAAAAAAATTACAGTGCTAAATTCGGATCTGGCTTTATCCCTTTTCTAATCATTGTATCCTCAAATTTATAAGCTTCATTTATATGGTCAACAATATCCTGAAAACATTGCCATAAACACGTTTTCTCACTACTTACAAACTGATCATACATGCATCAACTTATAATAATTCGGTTTCCCTGTATAAAACAAAAAATGGTACGGTCTGCCCGTTTCATCAAACTCTGCCGCTTTTCTTTGCGGAAAGACCTCTTCAGGGGGACGCATAAATGGCCTCGCTTTTTTCTCAAATAGCCCCGATGGAAACAAATATTGAATAGCATTCTAAAAAAGTATTGTCAAATCAACATCACTTTACTATAGTTTACAACAAACATCTATATCCTCTTGTGAAAATGTGTCTGGATTCTCCCCCATCATATTAGCTAAATGCCTCTTTCCAATCTGAAATTCAACATTCTGTTGCTTCATAAACTCATCGTGTTCTTTAGCACGCTCAAGGTACGCCTTCATTGCCTTGCTCACGTTTTTTTTCAGTTGAGGTTCTGGTTTTTGGGGCGACGTTGAAAATGTTTTGGCCTTAAAATGGTCTGTTAGTACGAAATTGGGTCTTTTGGTTTCGAAAAACTAACCTCAATGCGAGCAGTGAACAGAACACTGACCCATTGATTGTTGGCCTGAAAATATTTTACGGAAGGTTCGACAAGAGCGTTGAGGTGTCGCAACATATTAATATTTTTATACAAAAAGTTTTAAAATTTCCTCATGAAGAGACTTAACCTAGCCAGCGACACTTGCTGCCAACCAAAGCGAGTCAATTCCCTAAATAAATAATTAATTGGGTTATTTTCGTTATTAATAATTAGAAACAGCTGTTGTTAATCGATTTATTAATATAATACAAAATATTGCATACTTTTTTTACTATTACTAAAATAATATTAACTAGTCTACGTATTAATTAGTTTCTACAGCAGTGCCAGTATGTTTGTTGTGTTGGCGCCTCTGACTATTTCCAACTTAGGGTTCATTTAAAGTTGGCGGTGACCATTATTTTTAACATCACGAATTGTTGAAAATGGCAGACTTAACTCATTTGTGAAGATAACTAAAAATTGTTTAAAAACTATAGAACACCTGTTAACATTTGTGCCAAAATGGATCTCTTTGAGACAACTTTAAAGGTCTTGGAAAACAGGGTAAGTCAACAACAATGTAGGCATATATAATTCGCTTTTACTTCTAACTTTACAGACCGCTGCACAGGAGAATTTAACACTATCTAAGCAAGATTTAGATCAATATGAAGAGTACATTACTGAATTAAAACAACAGTTAACAGCGTTGGAATTACACAGCAACGAAAACACACAAATTTTGGAAGTGAATAACTTCAGTAAGCTGGAATTTAATTCACATTCAGTTGAAACAAAAATGCTGTTTAGTTTAATTCATGGATATCTGCAGCAAACTGAAGAGAGTTTGTCTACTATATCTCAAAGAGAGAGTGTTTTAAATCATCTGTGCGCTGAAAATGATACCCGACTCAAAAAAGCAGAACAGAGCTTTGTCAATGCTCTTAAACTCATGGAAATATTAAAAAAGGATGAGACGGAGAAGTCACTGAAGGAAGAGGATGAAATACAAAAGCAGATATGTGACACAGAAACACAAATCGGAGATGCAGAACAAGTGCTAACGTGTACTACACAGAAGTATGACGAGAAATTCGAAGAGTTGGGCCAACTAAGATCAGAGTTGGAATTATTAGAAGATAAAGTAGAAATGGAGACTCAGCAGCAGCAGTCACTGATAGATGAAAAGGAAAGTTATGGTAGACAACACCTAGAAGAAATAAACAGTAACAGTGAAATGAGCAATAAGTAAAATTACCCGAATTATTACTGTCGTGATTAACTTTACATACAATTTCAGAATAGTCGAGATTGAGGCGAACATGTTATCAGTTTCACAAAAATTACAAGAGATCTTAGAAAGCAATATTGAAGTTTTACAAAAACAGATTTCATCTCAATTAAAATTAGAGCAGCTTGAAAGAGAAACCTCAGAACTTGAAATGAAAATACTTGCAATTGAACACGAAAGTGACCAAACTATACAAAACATGACACAAGAAATTCAGTCAAAGAAGGTTTTAGTTGAACAAACTGAAAACAAACTTGCAGATTCTAAAACCAAAACAAATGAAATAACGCAGGTAATTGCAAGAAATAACGCGATTCACTATTTTTAACGCAATCTATTATATTTTAGGAGATGCAAGAGCTAAACACAAAAATGAACACTCTTAAAGACGAACTTGCTACTCTTCAGGCGAACTTTACCGCTGACGAAAAAAAAAGTTTAGAAAACAATAATTTGGAAGAAATAGTTCAAGAACGTGACGACTTGATAAAAGATAACGAGAAACTAGTGTCGTTAATTACCGACAACGAAGAGAAAATTAAACAAAAGCAAAAACAACTCGACTTGTTACGAAGTATTCCAAACGCAGAAATTGTCGAGTTGACGATCAAAATAAAAAAGTTTGAAGCAGAAGCTCAAAAGAAAACCGAATTAGAAAATGAAATTAGTGGTATCGATCTGCGTAACAAAAGTCTGCAGCAAAACGTTGAACAGCACCAATCAACCATAAAAGAGCTAACTGCCACAAAACAAAAGCTTGAACACGAACGCGAAGAAAACCAAGACGTGTTGAAAAGTGTTGCATTAAAATGTGACCTCATACACCAGGAAATTAAACGCTTAGAGGCTCAGAAAAAGGAAAGAGCTAAAGCAGTTTCAAAACCACCTGTAAAGAAAACTTGTTCTCAGTCGCCAAAGCAGCATCCGAAAAAACGTAGCTTCGGCATGAGTATGGAAAGTGATAGTAGTATTGATGGCGAGAGACTCAGTTATGCCGAATTTATGGCTAAAAAGAAAATGCTCAAGGAAAACAAAAAACAGAAAAGGTAAAAAACAGTGGCAAAGTCATTAATAAAAGCGGTATTTTTAGGAATAAAAATTAAAAAAGTTCGTTAAATAACTTTCAAGTCGCTGGAAATGGCGTACCTACATAAGATATTCTTAAATTGTTCACATTATATTGCTGTTTTAAATATCAACAATTCGAAGAAATAAAATTTTATTTCAATTTCCAACGCCTGTTCTTGTGTTCAATTTTGTTACTACATTACATAATTTATTTTCACGTTTGTGTTATAAGTATTTAAATATTAAATACATTTGCGTACGTAAAGTAATTTGTTTCAAATATTTTAAACAACACTGGCAATAGTAGTATTTTTTGTATTTAAGTAGCTTTAAAATTTAGTTATAAACATACTTAACCTATTTAAAACCAGCGGCAATTTCTGCCAACTAAAGCAAGTTAATTCTGCGAAAATTTTTGATGTTGGTACTGGTTATTTTCAACTTCACGGTTTTTAAATTTAAAGTTGGCGGTGACTATTATTTTTAACATCACGAATTGTTGAAAATGGCATATTTAACACAACATCTGAAAATAATGAAAAATTAGTTAAAAAAAGCTTTAAAAAATAAAAGACCTGCTAACATTTTGAAAAATGATTCTTTTTGAGAAAATTTTGACGGTCGTAGAAAACGGGGTAAGTCCTTAACAGTCCTTTATACAGATCATTCATTTTTACTTTTGAATTTAACAGAACATAGCACATAATTCCACACTATCGAGGCAAGATTTAGGTCGATATCAGGACTACTTTAGAGACATAAAACAGCTGTTAATAGAGCTGAAATTATACATCAGCCAAAACACACGAAACTTCGAAGTGAGTAACTTGAATAAACTGGTATTTAAGCCACATTTAGTAGGAAAAAAAAATGTTTTGTCTGATTTGTGGATATTCACAGCAAACTGAAGACAGTGTATGTACTATTACGCAAAGAGAGAGTGCTTTATATCTTCTATCCAAAGAAAATGATCGACTCAAGACGGCAGAAAAGAATTTCGCCAATGTTGTTAAAAACTTAGAAATAAAAAAACACTGTGTGAAAAATCCATCAATGAAGAAGGAAATATCTGCCACAGAAGCACACACTGAAGACACAGGAAAAGTAATGAAGTCTACGAAAGCGCGGTATAACGAAAAATTAAAACGAAATCCACTATTAACTGACCTGGAACTAGAAGATAAAACAGAAACGAAAATTCAGCAGCAGCAGATGGGTACAAACAAAAGTTATGACAGACAACACCTCGAAAAAATAAACAGTGATAGTGACATGAAGGATAAGTAAAATTATGTACATTATTCCTATCGTCAATTATTTTACAATTAAACTTCAGAATACTCGAAATTGAGGCAAGCATGATGTCTGTTTCTCAAAATCTACAAGAGATCTTGGTGAGCAATACTCAAATTTTACAGAAACAAATTAATTCCAATTAAAGTTAGAGCAACTAGACAAAGAAACCTCAGAAATAGGACTAAAAATACATGAACCTATACGAAACATTACGCAAGAAGTTGAATCAAAAGAGCTTCCAATTAAACAAAATGAAGCCAAACTTTCAGATTCTAAAAACAAAATAAATGAAATCACTCGGGTGGGAAATAATGTGATAATTTCACAGTTTTTATTAACGCAGTCGGTGTTTCAGGAGATTGAACAGCTAAATGCAAAAATGAATACACTGAATCATAAACTTATTACTCTTCACACTACCTTTGCAGAGAACACAATAAGATTTTTACAAATCGATAAAATGGACGAAACAGTTCAAGAACATGAAAACTTGGTCAAAAATAGTGAGAGACACGAGCAACAGAAAATTGAAGGACACCAAAAAGAACTGGAAAAGTTTGAATCAGAAGCTCAAAAGAACGGTGAACAACAGCAATTAATTACAAAAGATTTAACGGCTGAAGACGAAAGCATCGAAAACCAAAATGCCTTCAAAAGTGTTAAAACAACATGTAACTCCAATGAAAAGGAAATTAAACGTCTGACCGAGGTCCAGAAGACGAAAAGAGCTAAAACAGTTTCAAAAATACCAGTAAGGCAAAAGTGCCCTGATTTACTAAACCTGGACACAAGCAAACGTAGTTTCAGAATGAACTTGGAATTGACGGCCAAAGAAAAATACAAACAAAAAGGTAAACAACAGTAGCAGTTCGCATTAATAAAAGTCATATTTTTAGGAATACAAAGTAAAAATATTTGATTAAGTGACAAGTTACTAGAAATGACTTACATAATGTTCCTATGCTTTAAATTTCAACAATTCGAAAAGATAAATTTGTATTTTAATTGCAATCGCTGTTGTTGTGATTAAAATTAGTACATTTAGAAAAAGAACGAGAAATAAAAACACATGGTCTTGAAAGCGAAGGAAAGCAAAGTACACAAAACATGTAAACCAAAAAAGACTTTAATAAGTAAACTATATTTTATTTTTTTAATATTCGAGTCGAAAATGACACCGTCCAATGAATGTGTACGTAAATTCTAAACGGACAGATACCTAGGTGAAAATATACAACTGTGCCCAGAAAACTATCGTGAATTGAATTATAAAAACGGAAATACATATGCTCTCTTCTTCTGTTCAAAAGGTATGACGGACGAATGAACAATTTTCAATTATTTTTAACTTTTTGATTTCTTAACATATATACCTTTCTTTCAACAACTTCATACTTACAAACATGTTTCACATGGCAGTTTCTTGTAGATAAATAAGCATTTTACATTTAAGCTCCGCTTCTTGGCACACGACGAATAAGAACATTCATCACAACTGAGATGAGGGTGGGTGAGCGGGGTTTGTATTTTGCCTTTTTTTCTCATATGTAAGTAGTTTTCTATTCACGATAAGAAACTGAAAACTTGTTTAAAATAGTAAATTTGTAGAGAAGTGTGAGAGATAAAATTTACCATTTTAAACATGTTTTCAGTCTTTTGTTGTGAAGAGTATGTATATTAAGAAGAAAAAAAGTCAAATCATAAAAATGTTCGAAATTAGGCCACACCAAGTTATCTCGATTAAACTTACATCGATAAACTAATAAAAATTACTTCTTTCCCTAATTCGAACCCACTAAATAAGAATCTGGGACAAAAAAAAATATAAAAGGGCCTCGATATTTTTTTCTTGTGTCCAGAAAACTATTGAGAACCGAATGATAAAAACAGAAATATGTTGTCTTTGTCCGTTCAAAAGTTATGGATCGTCAAACTCAATTTGGTGACGAACTTCCAAACGAAACTACACAGGTAACTATATAAGGAATAATATGATGCCGCTTGTATCCTCGCTATTTATTTTTAATCTTGTCTATGTTTTAGGAGATGGAAAAGTTAAATTGATTAATAAAAAGAAAATACTCAAGGGAAAGAAAAACCAAAAAGGTAAACAACAGTAACATACTCATTAATAAAAGTAATATTTTTAGGAATACAAAGTAAAAAAGTTAAGTTGCTGGAATTGCCTTACCTCTGCATATATTCTAAAATTGTCCACATTATTTCGCTATGTTTGAAATATCAACAATTCGAAAACTAAATTAAATTTTAATTTGCAATCGCTGTTCTTGCGTTAAAATTGTCAACTACATGGCTACACCGGGCACATAATTCATTTTCACGTTTGGACTGTACTCGTCTACATCTTGCGCACGTAAAGTAATTCGTTTTAAACATTTCCAAATTAAAGTCACTTTTTATATCACTGTAATTCACTAAAACTTGAGACACTTGCAAAATATCTTCCAATTCGGCTTCGATGTCAGAAATTTTTTCTCCCTGTAGAATAATATTTACAACACTTGGAACAAATTTATTTAAAATGTGTCATTACCTCTATTAATTTTTTTACGTTTTGAGGAAAACTGATCCTAACTACTGACTCCAAAGTGCTGGCACCTTCTACCTTGTTCACTTCTTTCTTGATGTTCAAAATAGTACACATAAGTTTCTCTACTATTTCATTTTTCCAAAATTCTTCTGGTTTGCTATGTGGCGATGCGAAATACGTCCTACCACTTTTCTGTGGTAAATGTTGAAACATCTCTTCAACAAGATGCGGTACGATTGGAGCTATTGCTTGAGTTACAATTTCGAAGATTTGTAGAAGCACATATTGCGAAGCTTTTCGAGATGTAGCGTCTAAATTATCACAGTATAATCGATCTTTAATTCCATTGTAATAAAGTGCAGAAACTGGCGTGGTTAGTAAATTTATAACAGATTTACAGATTTGGTGAAACTGGTAATCGTTGATGGCGTCTTGTGTCTAAAAATAATAACACATAATAAAAATTAGAGTCCAGAGTCGCCAACATATAAAACATTACTTGTTCGTGGAATAAATACAGCAAATGCAACATATATTTATCTAATAACGATAAACTGTTGTAATCAACAGCTGGTTGTTGGTAGTCGTTCAAACATCCCAGCGCAAATCTGATAACACTTCTGATTTTATGTAGTTCGTCGGCGCTAGCTTGAAGAACGTTTTTGCTTATATGAGCTAGCGAATCCTGGTTTGCATGACAGGCCACCCACCATCTAAAAATTACGCGTGTTCGTTAAATTCAGTTTTGAAAAATTCCGTTACCTTAAGGTGTCTATTCCGTACGGTTTTTGATTTTTGGTACCCTTAACAATATCCAGTGGGTCAATAACGTTACCAACTGACTTTGACATCTTCATTCCCTTTTCGTCAACCACAAAACCATGCACATATATGGCTTTATAAGGAGCTTTATCCCTCAAAGCCACTGAAGTTATGAGAGACGACTGGAACCAACCAGTAAACTGGTCAACTCCTTCTAAGTACATGTCTGCGATTTTGTCGCCCTCGAGGACATTGGCCCATGATATTCCGCTGTCAAACCAAATGTCTAATATATCCTAAAATGATGAAAAATAATGTACGCAGATCTCTGCGCATGTGTAATTTTTGATGACACGTGACAGACCTGTCAGCTAACTGTCAATTATGCAGTAGTACCACCCATACAACTGATCTCACAGCTAATTCTAATTCGTCTTATTTTCAATGCCAATTTTTTGACGAACTTACCTGTCCTTTCTGAATTTGGTCAACAGAGACTCCTTGTCGTAATTCATCTGGAACTAATTGTTCTACAGGCAATTGCCACCAAAAATCAGTACCATGATTATCTATCAACATGCAGTAGTGTCTAATTAAATCTCTAGAAACAAAATTATCAATTATTATTACTAAAATTATGTTGTTGTCACCAACTTACTCATTAATCAAAACATCATCATTTGATTTATTGAAAAGTACAGGAATCGGGACACCCCACTTCCTTTGGCGACTGATGCACCAATAGGGTCTTTTCTGGATTTGATTTATTAAATTGCGTTTATATATGTCGCTTTTAGACAATGGTATAATTTTAACATCTTCTAGTAGCTCCTATAAAAACATTACGTTCCAATCTAGGACAAATAATTTTAAGAAATAACGTACTATCGCTCTGGTTTTTATAGATTCAGTATCAAGAAACCACTGTTCACTAGCTCTGATAATAACAGGTTTTTTGGTCCTCCAGTCATAAGGATAACTGTGCTCATATTCATGAAAATGAACAATATCATCTCCAATTATCTGTAAAACTTTGTCAGTGCCTTCTTTTAAGACAGACTTTCCTTCCAGTTCTTGTCCAACAGTGGAATTATAACAACCTAACTCATTCACCATGTTATTCTAAAAAATAACAAAGTGAAATAGTGTCAAATGAAGAAAAAATCTACCTACAATCGGCATTTTGTAATTAACCGCCATTAAGAAATCCTCAGGTCCATGAGCTGGAGCTGAATGAACCAACCCCGTGCCTTTATCCGCTGTAGCGTGCGACGCTGGTAAAAATTTTAACGTTTTATCTTTATAAATTGGATGGATATAAGTGCAGTGAGACAAAAAATCGCCAGATAAATTCTCCACTATTTCAAATGTGCAATTTAAAGTCTGTGATAAGTTTTCTAATGCACCAGAAGCTATAATGTAAAGATGTTTGTCTCTGGAGTTTTTCACTAAACTGTAAGATAGTGAAGGGTTGTAACAAACTAACTGATTTGCGGGTAGTGTCCAAGGGGTGGTGGTCCAAATCAACGCATAAATCCTTAAAATGTTTTTTGAAATTATGGAAAAAATTAATGAACGTTTTACCCGTCGCTGCTTCTGTTAGGAAAGTTCTGGATTTTAAATTTGACAAAAACGCTTTTACTGATATGGTGCTCGTTATATTCCAGTTCTGCTTCTGCAAGAGCTGTTCTGAAATTTTTAAAGAAAATGATTGTGCTGCTCATTTTTTGACAATTTACTAACGGACTATTTATTGTTTTTTACCTTGAAGAAGGTGACCAATAGATGGGTTTCACATCTCGATAAATCAAATTTTTGTTGTACAGTTTGTTAAAGAGTTTTATCTGAACTTTCACATAGTCGGGACAATAAGTGGCATAAAATTTCTTCCAGTCGCCTAGAATTCCCCATGACTTAAAAATTTCTTTCTGTTCTTGTATGGTATCTTCAGCAAATTTTCTTGCTACAGTTATGGATTTAAAATGAGTACTTAGGTCAGTGTGAACTATTCATTTACCTTTAGATCTTATTTCTAATGAACTAGCATCAAATTTTGATAACGCTTTTAATTCAATTGGTAAACCATGACAATCCCAACCCGGCACATAGTGTATTTTATGCCCTTTTAAAATGTGGTATCTCAAAATTGTATCTTTCAAGATCTACAATTATTGCGTCATGTGCACATTTAAAGAAAAAAGAGTTTAAAATATGCTACTGCATAACTTAGACCTTACTTTATTAAGTGCATGTCCCATATGAAGCCTACCATTGGCATACGGGGGCCCATCGTGTAGTACAAATTCTGGTTCAGATAAATAACTCCTTTGCCACTTATACAAGTGATCAAATTCAGCTGACTACAAAATTCAAAGAATAGCAATTTTTAAAACGAAACAGTGATACATACAACGGTAATTGCTTCATCACGTTCCACTAATTTTTTGCTTTCTAACCTCAAAGGAAATGTAGTTTTTGGTAAAAATATAGTGTTACTATACAATTTTTTCTTATTTTCATTTTCCGTGCAGTACGATACCCTGTTAAAAACTCTTTTTTGACGAGAAATTAGCCTAAAAAACATTTTTTCAAATTACAAACATAACCTTAACAATTCCTCATGGCCACGAAACCCGCTACATGCATCTACTGATGTGTACATTAAACCTACTATATAATTGTGGTAATTTAAATTATTAATCACTTTGTAAAATTTAAAAACAAATTATTTACAGCAGTCTCACTTAGAAGCAACTTATTTTCATTGATTTGGCGGAATCAATAATCATGGAATAAATTAGATTAAATAAAAAATGGTGTAGGTTTTTTAATAGTAGATTATATTCATAAATGACACCGACTTATATACTTATACGTCAAAATATTGGCAGATAACCATTACAATTAACAAGTCCCAGTTTTTAATAAAAATTAAGGAAAGTTCTGGTGCCTGCGACACATTTTATAGATTTATCAAGTCATTTTATCTGTGATTATAATCAGTAACCAAAATGAACGTAATCGCGGCTGTTAAAGCGTATGTTACAAAAATGACTGAGGAGAGTGAACCTGGTATGAAAATTCTCTTGATGGATAAAGAGACCACCAGTGTCATTAGTATGGTATACGGGCAGTCCGAAATTCAACAAAAAGAAGTGTTTCTACTGGAGAGATTAGATTCAGCTAACCAGAGTAATTCAATGGGTTTGCGATACCTCAAGTGTTTGGTGTTTTTACGTCCAACTCAAGAAAACATAGAGTTGTTGTGTAACGAATTACGATATCCGAAATATGGGGCCTACTATATTTATTTCAGTAATATTATCGCTAAAGCAGATATTAAGGTTTTGGCAGAACATGACGAACAAGAAGTTGTTAAAGAAGTGCAAGAGTTGTACATGGATTATTTGGCAGTGAATCCGCATCTGTTTTCTATAGGTTTGTCCACTTGTATGAATAGTCTTTCCTGGGATTTGACGGCATTGCAGAGGACAGTTCAGGGTATTATTGCTGTTTTGTTGTCTCTGAAGAAAAGCCCGGCTATTAGGTATCAAGCTAATTCTAAACTTTGTAAGGATTTGGGGACAAGAATTGATGAAGTTATGAGTAAAGAATCGTCGCTGTTTGCGTTTGGACAAAACAGTCAACCTTTATTGCTTATTTTGGATAGGAGAGATGACCCAATGACGCCTTTATTAAACCAATGGACTTATCAAGCTATGGTTCATGAGTTATTGACCATAAACAACAACCGAGTGAACTTATCCAATGTACAAGGAGTTAGTAAAGAATTATCAGAAGTCGTGTTATCAGCAGAACAGGACCCATTTTACGCCAAAAATATTTTCCTAAATTATGGAGAAATAGGACAGAATATAAAACAATTGATGGATCAATTTCAAGTCAAAGCTAAGAGTCATCAAAAAATCGAGAGCATCGCGGACATGAAAAATTTCGTTGAAGCATATCCACAATTTAAAAAACTTTCAGGGAATCTCACCAAACATGTAACTGTAGTTGGTGAATTGAGTTCAATGGTGAATAAATACCAACTGCTTGATATTTCCGAAGTGGAGCAAGAAATTTCGTCGCAGAATGACCACTCCTCCCATTTGCAAAATATAAAGAAACTGATCAATAATGACAAAGTTAGGAACACAGATTTGGCGAAGTTGGTCATGTTGTATGCCCTGCGTTATCAAAATCATAGTAATAACGATGTAGTTGGATTGATTGAGTTGTTGAAAAAGAGAGGAGTGGCGGAACGCCTTATTAGAAACATTGTCAACATATTGGAATATGCGGGTTCACATGCTAGACAAAGCGATTTTCTCAATGTGGAAAATGCCTTACAGAGTACTAAAAGGTTTTTCAAGGGCTTGAGTGGAGTTGATAATGTATATACACAACATAAGCCCTTGATTCATGAAACGTTGGAAGAACTGGCGAAAGGGCGCCTGAAAGATAGCTTGTATCCATATGTTGGTAATCATTTCCTGAGTGGAAGGCCACAAGACGTGATAATTTTTATTGTTGGAGGGGCCACATATGAAGAATCTTTGACTGTACATTCCTTTAATAAGAGTAATCCCAGTTTTAATATTGTGCTTGGTGGTACAACTGTACACAATTCCACTAGTTTTCTAGCTGAAGTAGAACAAGCCACCAGGAATGTGACCAGAAGGCACACTAGAAATATTCGAAACGTGCGATTTGATTAAGATAAAATGTTTAATTTTTATATATTACAATGTTATATTTTTTATTTATTTGTGTATAGATATATCAGTTGAATAAATGTTATATTGAGAATATAAATTATGCTGCAAGTGACTTAATTAGTTTAATTTGCCTAAGAAATTTAACTATGTTTGTTTTTGTAGGTCGCTTTTGCCTTGAAGGTGCGTGATATTTTAACAAAAGTGTTTATAAATCGTGCTAAAAATATATAAAAAGATCAAATACATATACAGTTGTATTTGTTTTTCATTATTTTGCCTTCTACATTTTCTAAAATGTACGGTGTAGAATGGTGGATGCGCCGGGCCGATCGTAGATATAATCAAGTATAGTCTGTCGGATACTACAAGGTTATGTGGCTGTTGTAAAATACGATTGAAGAGTGGGGGGATAACCGATTTTGATCACCGCGGCTATCAACGGTTGCTCGCGAAAAAATCCCTAAATATGGAACCCTACGTTGTGTTTTTTTATACGCCTCTAAATCAAACACAAAAAGTGTTCAATAAGTCGATCTTTAAGTTGAAGGAAAACTATCTGCCTAACCTTCATTGCAGATATTTGAATATCATAAATTTAAAAAATAAGAGAAAGAAAAATTTGAATTAAAGTAACTGGATGCAAATACACAAGTCATTACGATGTTGCAAATTTAAATTATGGTAGCCGAGAATTCACCAAGCGAATTACAGTGAACGTTATAACGAGAGCGGAATTTAAGTTCCTCGTCGAAGTCTGTCACCCTTCCTCGATGATTCTAATCTATACATAGGCAAAACACACGTTCCACAATTTATGCCCAAAAAACCTGCCGCATATTGCATTCTTTATCTGGTCTTCGCAAACTAGCCAGATATGAAACCAAGCTGTGTGTTTCACGCCGATCCGGGTCTTGCCATGAAGTCTCAATTTTAACATCCTTTTGGGCAATGCCAAAACAAATTGTAGTGTTCGGGTTCAAGTTAAATTTAACACTAGAAAGAAGACATTTTTTTGTAATATAGATTTGCGCGTTCGGACTTGTTAAAAGCGATAAAATTGTTATTTAATTTCACCAAATCTCTAGAAATTATACATTTTATTTTCTTGTATGACAAAAAAAAAAAATCATAGATATTATACCAGAAATGTTTGGATGCACTATTTTATAATAGATTCCTATTTGAAATTCTAACATATTTTTTTATGCTGATTTTGTGTTATGTTTTATGTGTTCTATGATACCAATTTTGGAACATTTATTCTCGGACGCACCTCTCAAAGCGACGTACGTACCGAATGATATTTTGTGTTTTTGGCCATATTTAACATGTGTTTTATGTATTTATGTCTTGGAGGATGGGGAATTCGATTCACGATGTACTCTTGGTTCATTAATTTTGCTTTATTGAATTCAATTGCCGAGTTCGGCCCAAGTCTAGATTGACAAATTTTTCCATGTAACTGTTTATTCGCATACCGGATTCCACCAACGCGAGATATGCGGAGAATGTCCTGCTGGTAAAGGAAACTTTACAGTGTCGTGTGTCACGTGGTGGAGGGAGTATAGTTGCGGAATAATACTTGAAGGAGTTCCCGCAGGCGCCGGCGGACACAGCATAAAGATAGCGGCCGTTTGTGGGGACACCGCGGCTTGGTTGTACGTAGCTGTGGTTGGTGCAAAGACACAGTTCAGTGACAATTAAATCGTTTTTTTTTTGTCGACTGTCAAAATATAAAAATCTGCCATCACGTTACCATAATAATTTGAGCATTGTCTTCCACTCTCCTTAGAAAAGAAATTGCAAAATGAAGCATTGTGTACTTTTAAGAAAGAGCTGTGCTTATGTGATAGAAATTTGTAATTTTACACTCGAAAAGATGGAGGGGTTTGTAGTTGGGAAAATATGCTTGTCAAGTTTATTTCATAGATTTTGTTCTCTCTCAAAAAATAACCACCTTTTCGGCTTACGGCATACAACAAGGAATTTACATGATGTTAAATTACGTTTTTGTACGACCATTGCTTTTTCGATCGTTTACCGTATAGGTTTCCATAGCAGTAAGTTCAGTTTACGGGTTGCTACGACTAACAATTAAGAGGCGAACGGTAAGTAATCATGCATTCAAGATTTTTTTTATTTTAAATTCCATGCGTGTTCGACTTCGACATTTTCGCTTTCAGAATCACTCATGATTGATATTTTAGCACTGATTTTAGGCAAATAAATCACTCACTAATAGTCACGGAAAGAAAATTAACTCGAAATCAAGCCAGATCAAATCTAAATCGACAGCGGTCAAAATTGAAACTGATTTTTAAAATTGTTGTTTATATATTTAATTGTTGAACTATAGACCAGTAAGTTTAACTTCGCTTGTGGTAAAAGTTATGGAATCAATCATTTATGATCAGGTAATGAAGTTTCTACTGGAACAAGATCTCGTCCCAGATGAACAGCACGGCTTTCTGCCAGGGAGGTCGGTTCAAACAAACCTCCTCTGCTGTTTATCGGAGTGGACCAAAAGCTTTGATTCTGAACGAGCATTAGACATCATATATCTGGATTTCTCTAAGGCGTTTGATAAAGTGCCAAAACTACGTCTCCTACATAAGTTAAATCTGCTTGGCTTACGTGGTAGTCTGTTGAGGTGGATTGGCTCGTTTTTAAGCGACCGAACTTTTCGCGTTAAAGTTGGGGATGCATTCAGCAGATATGTTGATGTCGTAAGTGGCGTACCGCAAGGCTCTGTGCTGGGTCCATTACTTTTCATTGCTTATACAGCTGACATCAAAGGAATTATATCATCCTCCTTCGCCATGTATGCTGACGACATTAAATTATATAATAGCTGCGATAAATTCCCTTCGTTAATTAAAGATTTACAAGCTGTATATGATTGGTCTCGTAACTGGTTACTTCCATTAAATTTTGATAAGTGCAAAGTCTTACATATTGGTACTAAAAACCCAAGACACCCCTACTACATTGGGAACACGCAGATATCCGTAACGGAATCTCACATCGACCTGGGCGTTCTCGTACCTCCGATTTTTCTTGGAGTGAGCATATTTTGCGTGTCACCAAGAGAACTAACTCGATGCTTTATCTGTTAAGTAAAGTCTTTGCCAAAGCTAGTCCATCCATATTTGGAAAACTTTTTAAAACATTCGTGAGACCGTTACTGGAATTTGCCAACACTGCCTGGGTTCCTGTTTTAAAACGAGATATCGCACGCTTGGAGCTGGTACAGCGTAGGGCAACCAGAATTCCTTTTGGTAGAAACCGACCTTCGTATTGTGGTAGGCTTAATGCAATGAAACTTTGTCTTCTTTCTGACAAACGCAAACGTGGGGATTTAATAATCACTTATCAAGCTCTAAGTAATGCTCATTCTCCAATTAAACAATTATTTACTCTTAATCTTTCGAAACGTACTAGAGGACATCCCCTTAAATTACTTAAGGAAAACTCTCATACCACTACCCCAAGAAGTTACAATTAGCGGAGTCTACCTTAATATTTAAATCCAAATATGATACTTATTGTACTAACTAAAGAGTAATACTGTCACCCCATCACTTGATGTTAGCGCGGGCACAACAGGCCACGCCTCTGCCCGGTCGCTTCTTTAATAATAATATTAATAATAATAATAATAATATTAATCGAAACCATAGTAACAAATTTTAAATTAAAAACCGACCTTGTTGATGTTTGATATAAATTCTTTTAATTTATGAATTTGATAAAAAGACGCAAATCTTTTGATGGTCGTACAAAAAATAGTATAAGCATCACGAACGTTAAGGGGGTTTACTGGTCTCAGACAAATTGGAGACGTCGCTTCGCTTCGTCTCCAAACTTTTGCCTTCGACCAGTAAACACCCCTTACCGTTCTTAATACTTAATATACTATAACAATTTTAAACAACAAAGAATTTACATGATATTAAATTATGCCACGCTCTATCAACAATTTGGCATTTATTATAACTGACATTTACTAATTACTAAGGACGGGCTACCACCCTAACTGAAGCAACACATGATTGCCTATGTAAGTTGTGATAACCCAAACTTCCCGTTTTTAAATTGACCTTGAAAAAGTTTGAAAGGCCCGCGAAAAATTCAAAAATTCAAAATTTGGCCTTGGCTGTGATCGTCTAACAAATGGGAACCTACGATGTGTTTTTTTCTTTTAAAAGTGGCGGGAAGACGTTCTTTCATACAAGTGCATACACTGCGTGCGAGTCGAGAGCGCAAGAAATAATAGACAAAAATTAGGCAGGGGCCGAAATGGCATCCTTCCTTAGGAGGAAAAGAAACGAAGAGCAAAAGTGACTCAGCGTGAGCGTGCCCTTCTGGTGGTTCCGCAAGGCCAAGGCGTCATCGGACTCCATTCCCAAACCCCCCCCCCCCCCAGGGCTATATTCACAGGAAAACAAAGCAAAATCTGAATTAAGTAACTAGATGCAAATACACAAGTCATTACGGGCGTGTGGCGGCAGAATTTAAAGTTACGGCAGTTAACAGGAGCACAACAAAAGTACCCCTGAGGTATGCTAGCACAAGCGGAGTTTGGGGCTACCGGTCTGGAGCTGTTCTCCCCCCACGACGGTGATTCTATCTATCGCAAAACCTACCCGCACGCACCCCCATTACGATCATGCTGTGCGAAACTAGACCATTACGGTCACCAGACCCGCAGTTAGATCTCGACTATTGGTCCAAGTCGAGAGCACTACAACATCCGCGGCCGCCTCTGAATCTATCCAAACCTGTGGGCTTGTACAGGTGACACGATAAATCTCGCCAGCCCGACTAGGAACCGCACTTCGCTTCTGCCACGTTTTCTGTGTTATTTAACCTCAATTCCATTTTTAAATGTTCAATTTCTTATTACTCTGATATTAACAACAACCAAACAAGTGTTAAAGTTTCAACGAGCAATAAACAACATTTAAATTTGCCATACATGGAATCTTGTGAAATTTTAAACAACATATAAATCTTATGTGAGATAAAAATTGGACATCAAACAATTTATATGATAGAAACATTCATCAACAAAGTATTTACAAAACAAACTTAGCAAGGATTTATGAAACAAAAGATCTGGTGTGAAATAAAGTTGTACAAATAGAAATATTATGTGAGGTTAAAACTGTGGAACATGAAATTTACGTTCAATTAAAATTATACAACAAATAAAATTACTGAAGTTAAAACTGTGAGATTGAGAAATATTGTATGAGGTGGAAAATTGCAGAGTTAACAAAATTTACATGAGGTTAATAATTACCACACTTTATCAACGATTCAAACAAAGAGTTTACATTATGTCAAATTATGTCATGGTCTAAGTGATTGGTTACTTAAAAAAAAAAACAATTTACTTTGAGAGTTTAAAATACCGCGAACTGGTTACCCCAACAAAACACAAAAGTAATAAACAAACATAAAAATATCCAATCATCGCTCCGAGGGAAAAAGCGTCTCGGTGATGTAAATTTTAAATGGTTGCGAGGAAAAAGCGTCTCGGTGATGTTATTTTTATATGTTGCGAGGACGAATCTCGATGAAGTAATCAATCTGTAGCGTTGTGAGGGCATGCCTCGATGAATTGATCAATCTGTAGCGTTGTGAGGGCATGTCTCGATGAATTAATCAATCTGTAGCGTTGTGAGGACATGCCCCGATGAAATAATCAATCGATAACGTTGCGAGAAAATGCCCCAGTGATGTGATCATGATAACGATGATTATAACGATGATAACCGCTTAACTTGTTTAACTGCCGTAAATGAACTATTAGCAATCTTGTGTGAAGAATTTAGAAGTGTTATAATGTAATACTTACGTACATGCATCTAGAAACCTATCCGTGATGAAACAACAAAGGTGTTTTTCTTGACTAAGTGAATTTCATGAAATCTTCTAGCAAGTGGTTTATTTAAATAATCCTGATTGTTAAATTAGATTAAGATTAAGAAAACCTAACTTGATTGGTGAATTTACAAACAATAAAACAAATTTACAGCACGTGTTTTGCGTTGACCGGAAGTTCGCAATTTTTGATTAAAAGGCCGCAAGAATTAACCGCGCGGGTTGGGGACAGCAGAGTGACATCAGTTACGATTTGTTTAATTCTTTTTAAGAATTCGTTTGTGTGGAAATTAAACGCTGTTTAACAAAACTACATTTATTTCCCGAAACACGTCTGTTCGTCCAGACGACTGCAGTACAACTCTTAGTGCCGTTTACACATGTTCGGCACTGCTAAGATACAAGCCGCCCCTTTCGGCACTGTCGGCCGGCACCTCAAATGGTGCCGCCGCAGCTGGCCTAGGCGGCGGAGACATATAATAAACTCAAACATCCCGACAATATTTATTGGCATTAACATTGCTCCCCGGGTTGAAATGTTCACTGTTTCAACGAATATGTTACAATAGTATTGTTCTAATGTCTATGAATAAGAGAAAAACAACAATAACAGTTACAAGGTGTTCAAAATGGTTTGAAATACTGTCACTCACGCACTCCACCTTCGATAGGAATCACACATATTTTTGTAACAGGCCTTTTAAATGCACCGCGCACTGTTCGCACAGTCACCACCCGGGTTAAACCATCTTTCCCAGGATGAAGTTCTTCAATGCGACCCAATGGCCACTGGAGTGGTGGCGCGTCGTCTTCTTTCAGGAGTACTAGGGCTCCCAATTTGGGTTGATCGGAGATGGTAGCCCATTTATAACGTTGTTGCAAATTATTGCGATATTCGGCAGCCCACCGTTTCCAAAAATGTTGCCTCATTTGCTCCAACCTCTGGTACTGAGACAACCTTGTTGTCGCCACTTCCGTTAAATCTGCTTCCGCTGATGCCAATAACGAGTCGCCAACCAAAAAGTGACCTGGTGTTAATGCTTGTAGGTCTGTTGGATCGGAGGAAAGGGGAGACAAGGGTCTGGAATTCATGCAAGCTTCCACCATCGTTAACAGGGTGTACATGCTTTCAAAATCAAGTACGGCATTTTTTACCACCCTTCGTAAATGGTTTTTGGCCGATTTGACCGCGGCTTCGTGTAAACCGCCAAAATGTGGAGCTCGTGGTGGCATAAATTTCCAACAAATTTGTTGGTTTATTAAATGATCTATTACCTTTTTCTGAAAATTTGGTGATTGTAATAAATTGTACAGCGATTTTAATTCTCGGTCAGCTCCTACAAAATTTTTAGCATTATCCGAGTAAATTGTGTCAACCTTCCCCCGGCGCGCGACGAATCTCTTAAGTGCGTTTAGAAACGATTCGGTGGTGCAATCACACACCAATTCAATATGAGTGGCCTTAGTTGCGAAACAAACAAAAATTGCAATGTAACCCTTAATTCTTTTAGTGGTTCTACCACGACCATTCTTTAATAATATTGGGCCTGCATAATCGATACTTGAGTACTGAAATGGTCTTGATGGTCGGACCCGTGACTCAGGCAAATGTCCCATAAGTTGTTGGTAAGACTTAGGTTTAGCTCTAAAACAAATTATGCATTGATGTATAATTTTTCGCACCGCGTTTCGTCCTGAAATTAGCCAATAACGTTGACGTATTGCGTAAAGTGTTGCAAGACACCCGGCATGCAAATGTGTGATATGTGTCAATGTAATTATCAATTTTGTTACACTGTGATTTTTTGCTAATATTAATTGATGTTTTTGATCGTACTGAATGGGTGCATGTCTCAATCTTCCTCCTACCCTCAATAGTCCTTTTTGGTCTAAAAACGGGTTTAAGTTTAATATTTTCTGTGATGTGATAATGGTTTACCTTTTTTCAAAGATTCAATATCATTATGAAACGATTCTCGCTGACTTATTTTGATTATAATGTCGTGTGCATTATTGAGTTCGTTACGGGATAAAGTTAAACTACTGGGCGCTTTACGCGAGGAATCAGAAGTTGAATCGTTGTTTTTGTATTTCGAACTATAACGTAATTGAAATGAATGAATGAATCGTAGGCAATAAGCGGTTACTCTTATTAATTTTGTAAATGACGAAAATCGTGATAAAAGATCGAAAGTTGCATCAATATGTGTTACACAACATAACGGCTTTATTTCTGGCAAATTTTCGTCTTGAATGATATTTTTGTATGGCCATTTACTAGCAGGTTGTAATAAAAACTCTGGTCCATGCCACCATAGAAACGATTTCTGCAGCTGTTTGACCGCCATACCGCGTGATAAAATATCAGCTGGGTTTTGTTTGGACTTGACATACGACCAATCTGTAATTTTGCTTAATTCTTGTATTTTAGTTACTCTGTTCGCGACATAAATTTTAAGTTTAGCTGGATCAGTCTTAAGCCATGCTAAAACAACTTCCGAGTCCGTCCAATAGAAATATTTTTCAACGTTAATATCTAAAACTGTTCGTAATTTGTTCATTAATTCTGCCAATAAAACTGCAGCACACAATTCCAGTTTCGGTATTGTTGTGGCACGTAAAGGCGCTACCCGATGTTTCGAACAAAGTAGATGTGATGTATATGTTTCGTTTTCATTCTTACACCGAACATAGACACATGCACCGTATGAAGATTGACTGGCGTCACTAAAGCCGTGAATTTGAACTGTGGTGGGATGTTGAGGTATTGTTTTTCTAGGTATGGTAATTTGTTCCATCATTTTAAATTCTTGTAAGAATTTTGCCCACATTGTATATAAATTTTCGGGAATAGATTCATCCCAGTTTAACTTTAAAGACCACAATTTCTGTAAAAGAATCTTTACGGTGACTATGGTGGGAGAAATTATACCCACTGGATCGTAAACATGCGCTAAAGTGCTAAGTATTGTGCGTTTTGTTGCTTTGTTACTGAACGGAATATCACTGGGAATAAATTTAATTGTGTCCGATTCGCTGTTCCAACACAAACCTAACGTTTTTTTCTCTGGTTGAGAAATAAGGTGTACTGTTTTTGACTGTGTGCAGTTTTTTGGAAGTAGTTCTTTAATGTTTGACGACCATTTTCGTAATTCAAATCCACCTTTTCTGAGAATTTCAGTTACTTCGTCGCGAATTTTGTATGCACTCTCCATAGAGTCACAACCAGTTAATAAATCGTCAACATAAAAGTCTCTTAAAATGATTTTATACGAGTCTGGAAAATTAACGGCTTCCGTTTTAGCTAATTCTTGCAAACATCGTATAGCTAAAAATGGTGAAGATGCAAATCCGTAAGTAACCGTATTAAGCTGATATGTTTGAATTTTTTCTGTTGAATTAAATCTCCACAAAATTCTTTGAAATCTTTTGCAGTGTTCCGGATCAACCAAGATCATTCTGTACATTTTAGCGCAATCTGCACTCAAGATAAATTGATGAACTCTAAACCTAACTAAAATTGAAAATAACTCTTGTTGTAATGATTCTGCCACATATAAGTTGTCATTTAGCGATTTCCCGTTTGAGGATTTGACTGATGCGTCAAATACAATTCGTATTTTTGAGGTTTCGGAGTCTGGTTTCACAACATGATGGTGTGGAATGTAACAACAAACCTGTGTTCCATCATCATCTTCCTTTAATTTTTGCATGTGACCCATTTCTAAATATTCTCGCATAAATGCAGTGTAATCGGATTTAAGTTGGGGATCTCTCAAGAATTTGCGCTCTATACTTTTTAAACGACTTATTGCAGCGTGTTTTGTGAAGCCCACTGAAGGTGGATCGCTTTTAAATGGTAATTTTACGACAAACAAACCACTTGAATTTCTAGTTACTGATTGTTTAAATAATCGTTCACATTCAACATGCTCTTGCAATAAACATTTATTCTCCCTGTTATCAAATTCGTCAAAAGCAGCGACTGAGAAATTGCAAACGGATGTGGGTGGTTGGGTTACTGGAATATTTCCCGAGATTACCCACCCCAAGTAAGTTTTTTGAAAAACTGGTCCCTTGTCAGAATTTTGGATTTGCCCTATGCATAATAATTTCCAGAATAGAGATGCACCGATTAATATATCAATCTCAGATGAAACATTGAACTGGGGGTCTGCTAATTTAATGTTTTTTGGAACACTGAGAGCAGTTTTATCGAATGTAATGGCAGGCAAGTCTGATGTTATTCGTGAAATTATTAGGCACGATAAAGTGTCACTGAATCGGTTATAGTTGGAATGTATTTTAAGAGAAGTAGATTTCCTAATTTTTGTTGAATTATTTCCAATTCCGACCACAGGTAACGTAATGTTGTTTGTTTGTAGACCTAACTTTCGCGCTGCGTTTTCGCTAATAAAGTGAGAAGTTGATGCGCTATCAAGCAATGCCCTTAACTGATGCTCTTTACCGTTTTTATCAAAAACTTTTATTAATGCTGTGGAGAGAATGACAGTTTGAGAAATCAGAGACACACAATGACTACTAATGGGCGTTAAGCTTTCAACATTTTCCGGAGTATTTTCAATATGGAGTAACGTGTTGTGTTTTCTATTACACTTACGACACTGACTGTGGGTACAAGTGTCTGCTTTATGATTAGCTTTAAAACAATTCTGGCATAGTTTATGTTTTTTAATTTCATTGATACGTTGTGCGACTGTCATTTCTAAAAAGTTTTTACAACGAAATAATTGATGATTTTGATTGCAAATACTACATTGTATTGAACTTGTGGAGACATGAGTTGCAGGTCGTGTCATGTAACCTTTCTGAATAGGTTTTGCACTTTGGTTCACATTTGTATTAAACTTATTATTGGTAGAAATTGATACCGATTCAAGAGATTCTAAGGTTTGACAACGTTGAACGACAAATTTCTCTAATTGTTCATAAGTAGGAATTTCATGACCAAGTGAAGATTCCCATGCAATAAGCGTATTATGATCTAGTTTTGACGAAATTATATGTATTAATAAATCGTCCCATTGTTTGACTGGTCTTTGAAGCGATTCTAACACCTTCAGATGTGTTGTTGTGGTTTGAATCATTTGCCTCAATGATTTTGAATCTTTCGTTACATGTGCTAACGAAAAAATGGCACGAACATGATGTTGTACGATTAGACGGTTGTTGTCAAATCTGTCTTCCAATAGACTCCAAGCTGTTTTGTAACTGGCAATTGACGGAGTTAAATGATCTATGGTTTGCAATGCTTCGTCTTTTAAGCTACTTTTAAGGTAGTGAAATTTTTGGATTTCATTTAATAATTTATTGTTATGGATTAGCGATTTGAACGAGTCACGAAATCCTACCCAATCCACAAATGACCCACTGAATGAAGGTAAATTTATGTCTGGTAGTTTGACATTGCAATTTTCACCGTCCGGCAAACTAACCGCTTCATCGGTTTTTTCTAAAAGTTTTTCGGCGTCGGTAATAATTTTGTAATAATCGTTTTCAAACGCAATCAAATCCGTGTCCCGCACCTGAGAAGGGTCTAATTCTGCAATTTGAAAATGATAATCTTCATATTCACGCATACACGGTTCGACATCCTTTAATCGCCTACTAATTTCTAGTTTTTGATCAACATTTCTAGGATTAGTGATGAATGTTTGAAATCGCGTAAGACGTTGTTTTACACCTGCTCGTTTGCTTTTTAAACTTTTAACCGTATTTGGCATGGTAGGTAGTTTTGTAATTTATCGAAAGTTATAAAGATTTTAAAGAAAATAACACCGATTTGATAATTAAAACATACAACGCCACACAGATACCGAAAGCTTGCAAAATTCACAGGAATACGAATAGGAATAATTGGAACGACCTGACCTTTCGATGTGTTCACTCTTGGAGGAATTGTTGTAATTTGTTGTGTCGTGAAGGGTGGCGAATCCGTGCGCGGGAATCTTCTACCACAGCTGCATCACGTCACTTTTTGCGATATGCTCAGTGTTGAGCTCGTAATCACTATCCGGCTCGAAGGACCAAAATGTTTAATTCTTTTTAAGAATTCGTTTGTGTGGAAATTAAACGCTGTTTAACAAAACTACATTTATTTCCCGAAACACGTCTGTTCGTCCAGACGACTGCAGTACAACTCTTAGTGCCGTTTACACATGTTCGGCACTGCTAAGATACAAGCCGCCCCTTTCGGCACTGTCGGCCGGCACCTCAAATGGTGTCGCCGCAGCTGGCCTAGGCGGCGGAGACATATAATAAACTCAAACATCCCGACAATATTTATTGGCGTTAACACGATTGATTGTCGTTAAACAAAGGCTTCCTCCCATTTTATTAACTACCAAAACCAACTAATTTAAACCTAGCTCTTACCACGTAGTTACACTCACACAAGCACATTCAGACTGACTCTAGGCCATGCTGCCCTGTCTCTACTAACCCTCTAACTAAAATCCCCTGGCGCTATATCGTCCGACTACCAAGCAAGCGTTTCCGTGCACCAGGTTGCCTATGTATAACGATTTTCCTTTTTGTGATTGAATTTTTTTTTCTCTTTCAAATTCAAATCATTCAAATGTGATTTCGCGCCGCTGTTAATTAATTTAAATTCGGTCACCACAAAGTTTAACGATTTTCTTAAATTAATTATTTTTCAAATTCTAATTAATCAAATGCAGTTTCGCAGCGTTGCTTTTTTTTCTCATCGCGAAATTTGAGTTCAAACAGATACGGCCACAACGCAGATAGTTTATTAAAAATTAATATAACAAAAAAAATATACGAGTATAAAGTTTTATTAGCATCTCATTACTCTACAATAATATTTTTTTGTATATTTTTTTTTGGGAATAGGCCCAACGTTTTCACTTTGGCGACGTTTTCCCCTTTCATGGGCTTTTACTGGTCTTGCTGGAAACTGCGTCTGAAGCATCTTCCAAACAGTTTTCCGGATTCTTTCTTGGTTGTCGAGAATAACAGTCCTGGATTTAGTATCTCCTCTTGGCGTCTTCGTTTTTACAAAAACAGTTGCTTCTTGACAGTTTTCCTCAAAACTGGGTTTTTCCATGGGTGATGCGTGCCTAAAGGTCGTTAGATCTGGTCGCCGTCAGCCGCGAGGATGGGTCCAAACATCTGAAACAAATAAAATATTAGTGAAAAATAGCAACAAATTAAAAATACCTGTTTATGTACTATGAGTGTTCTTTTAAATAAAATGCACGTGTTGTAGTATTTTTTTTAGCAAAACAAATCTTAAAACGGGCAATGAAAGTAAAATTTAATAAAAAATTTATAGAATGGAAAAAAATCTGCACTGTAGACTATAGCAGATTGAGATTACGAGTCTGTAGTAATTTTTATTTTTGCTTTAATCCTCACCACTCCTCACTCACGTAGAAAAGAACACCGTATTTTATAAATGACAGACGCTGTGCTTATAAATTCTGAGTCCATAGGAACATTTACTTTACTTTAACACTAACACAAATTATTAGAGTTATCATAAAAAAAACCAAGTCAAATGTTATAATTAATTTTTTGAAGAAGTTGGATTTGTTGAACTGTATTTTAGGGGCGAGGAAAGTTCTAACTAATAGTTAATATACATATATTTTTTCAAAATTTTTGTTTAAAATATGTATAATCACGGCCAAAAATTGAAATACAACCTAAATTATTTTTGGCCCCGGGTGTGCAGTGTATGTAGGATTAGGAATAGCAGCTATATAATTATTATTAAAAAAATATGTTTTCTTTATAAAGAAATAAAAATTAATATATTATCTTTAACACTTTTTACATATAATTAAAACAATAATAATTGACCCTTTTCCTGTAAGCAAAGTGAGTAGACATTATATAAATTCCAATGATACAGAGTGAGACAACATCGCGCAGGCGAAGTCAGATTTTTGGAGCGCCAAGTTAAAATTAACCAATGAGCGACAGATTACGCATGTGTAGCCGGTTGCATTCTGTCAAAGCGGTTTGTTGTCACAAGCGTTTGCTCTGCTGCCGGAGTGCTGGATACTATTTCCAACGTGGTTTTGAAGATGCGTGCGCACGGAAAGTCACTATGGAAGTTTTACGATCTTACAGGAAAAGGGTCAATTATTTCAGAAAAAAATTGTTTCCCACTCATTGGCCCTCTCGCGGTTACTAATATAATTACCCAAAATGCTTAGCACTACAGAGTTCTGTAACCCGCGCTGTCAAAATTCATGACTGTTATTCTGTCCAAAACCGTAAGTGACACAGCAGTACATGGTTAGAAAAACAAACCCGGTAACATTAAACAAAACTCAGTGTTAAACAATGTTCCGCAATCAATACGACAGCGATGTCACCGTCTGGAGCCCCCAGGGCCGCCTCCACCAAGTGGAGTACGCCATGGAGGCCGTAAATTTGGGTTCAGCGACCGTCGGCCTGAAAAGTAAAACACACGCCGTCTTAATCGCTCTCAAAAGAGCGTCTTCCGAGCTCTCAGCGTACCAGAAGAAAGTCATCAACATCGACGACCACATCGGAATCACAATCTCAGGTTTGACCGCCGATGCAAGAATCCTTAGCCGCTACATGAGAACCGAATGCCTCAACTACAAGTATTCGCATGACACGCAATTGCCCCTAAACCGTTTGATTAGCCAGTTGGGAAATAAAATGCAGTTGTGTACGCAGCGATATGATCGAAGACCATATGGAGTGGGGCTGCTAGTGGCAGGGTACGATGATCAAGGGGCTCACGTTTATCAAACGTGCCCGTCAGCTAATTTTTATGATTGTAAGGCGATGTCGATTGGGGCGAGGTCGCAGAGTGCGCGCACGTATTTAGAGAAGCATTTGGAAGAGGTTTCATCGAGTTCTTTGGAGGAATTGATTAAGCATGGTTTGAGGGCGTTGCGTGATACTTTGCCGCCTGAGGTTGATTTAACCATCAAGAATGTGTCTATTGGGTATGTGGGAAAAGGACAGCCTTTCAAGATTTTGGTGGATGATGAAATTGGTCCCTTCTTGGCTATGATTCAAGGAGAGGAAAGAAGAGGTGGTGGGACTCATGATCCAGGAGCGGAACCTCTACGGGAGGAAGCGGGGGACCAGGACCAGGGTCCCAGAGACCCAGCCGCAGCAGTAGCAATGGATACAGAATAAATAAAGGAAGATTTTTAATTTTTTTAAAAATCTACCTTTTGCCTTTGAAAAACGTGCTTGAATTTGTGCCGTGGCTGTCTAATTTTTAACTAGGCAGCCACGGCACAGTATCGCTATATAAATTTTCTTATTTGTATGCAACCATTAATTAATAAATAAATTGTCCTTAAATTTGTATTTTTACTTCAAATGTAACAAATAGAAGTGTGACCTATTTTAATTTTTCATAAGTAATTCTTTCTGTTTGCTTTCCAATATTTTCTCAGCTTCAGTCACATATGTGTTAGCAATAGCAACAACTTGTTGTTCACAATTCTTGACTAGATCTTCCGATAGTTTGTCCTTTTTCTTCAGTGATTTTATTTGCTTGTTTTGCACATCTTTGACGGCATCTCTACATTTTATAAATAAAGCTTTTGCATTTTTAGCCAAGTTTTCTCTGTGTTCTGTTGTAACTCTAAAATTGTTTGTTAATTATTTCAGCTTTGGACACAGTTATTCTTACTTAGGAACTGGTATGTATAACGTTGTTCCATCTTGTTGTGGGTTCAGGTTCATTCCTGACTTTTCAATTGCTTTTAAAGCTGCTGGTATGGCTTGAGGGAAGACTGACATATTAACAACCATTGTTTTAGGATTCTTCCTAACTATTTGAGCAAGTTCTTGCAAGGTGTGCGTTTTTCCATCAAGTTCTACAGGGATACTCTCAATGGAACCTACCACAAAAAATTATGTATCAGTTATTTAATTAAAATAAAAATTTACCTGCATTTGTTCTGACTGACAAGTGTTTCGTGTACTCATCTTTTAACGTCTCTACGGCTTTTTGCATATGAGTTTTGAGTGATTCGAGGTTGATTACTTCAGACAGTTGGCTTTCATTAATGGCAACTTTTGCTTTACCTGTAACAAAAAAGTAAATGATAATTGTTATAAACTACTGAACAATTACCTTTTTCTTTTTTCTTATCTTTAGACTTAGCATATTGTCTTACAGAGGTATATAGTATTTCATTTTTTGTGAAGTTTCTTTCTTCAGTGAACACCTGATTGAGTGGAGACGGTTTAATATAATTCTGGCAGCATTTTGTCACAGTAAAGTAAGTTCTGTTGGTAATTATTCCACAATTAGCACTCCTAAATAATGTTCTAAATGTGAACATTGCAGCAATTTTAAATATTTGCTGAAAATAGTTTCAAAGTGTTGATAACCTACAAATGTGAGGTAGTGACAAACAATGCCGCCAACGTGAAGCGTGAAGCGGTTGCTGAAAAGCAGAAATTACTAGATGTCTGTGTTTACCACATCAATTTTTTTAAATAACCATTAGTGATTGCAAATTTTTGGATTGACATTTCTGAATTATTGGCAGCAATGTTTGCATATCCAGTTCATAATAGTCAATTTTGACACGAGTGCTCCTAACAAATCCATGGTGACCAAAATTTCATCTGTATATCAGGTATGCCATTATAAAATTTTAAATATGTTGCCACTGACCAAAAATCACAAACATTGATATTTTTTTTGTAGTCACTCCTTACTCGGTATTTTGTTGCTGTTAGTTTCAGTCACGTTTCAGTCTATTGTCTGAAGCAAACTGGATTAAATAATATAAAAGAATGAGTAATAAGCATTCACGTTCGGTAGAAGTAACTGACAGAAACTTTTCTGTGGTTAAGTTGCAATCTTAAGATCACTAGAAATTTAAGATTGGCATCAACTGTCTAATTTTCTAATTCAAATGTCAAATCTGAATTGTGTGGAAAAAAAACGAAGTTTTTCTAATTTTAACACGCTTCGTTTCAAGAAAATCCTTAAATACAGCATGGAAACAATTTCTATAAAAGTAATCACGAGAAAGCTCATTTTAAAGGAAAAGAAACAAGAAATATTTCGTGGTTTTCAAAAAATTGGGTAAAACGGAAACAGTTAAACTGGTGGCAGAAATATTCTCCGTAAAGTTCGCTAGTGTTGTCGAGTGTTTTTCGAATTTTAAAATAATACAGATACAGCGGCGCTTGTGCCGTTAATATTATAATCAGAATCAGAAAGACGACTGCGCAGATTTATATACCTACATGCTTTGTTGGTTCCGTTCTACAATTGGTTTTTAAGTTTTATATAATCGTTATTGTTTTGTAAGAGGTAAAACACTCGGCTTTGAAAATAATTGTACGTAATACACGTATAAATTTAGGTTTCCGAAGGCGAAGTTTTTCACATTTTAAACACGTTATAGCTGCCAGAATCAAATTTCTAAGACGGTACCTATCTCCAATTGCGTGATTGTGGTGAAGATTTACTTTTCATTTTCTTGGATGAGACATGGATATACCAGAACGGATCCATGGTGAAATTGTGGATCCATGATGATGACATCAAAGCTTGTCCTCCTAAAAAAACTAGTGAAGGGAAAAGATTCAAAATTTTAGATGCGGGTTGCTCTTTGGGCTTTTAGAGGGATGCGCTTTTCTCCTTGGTTCAAAAATAGATTCACCAGATTACCACAAAACCATCACATTTTCGATATTTGACCTTTACTTACTTACATGTCACATTTTTGATACCTACTTTCTGACATTCCAGTAATACATTATACACTAGAACAATTATGTCCGCAGTTACACAGCTTAAAAAAAAAAGTTACCAAATCTAGTTACATCTACCGAACGTGAATTCCTTATAAAGTCGCGATCTTTTCTATAGAACCACTCCCTAGTGTAAATTTTCAAAATTTGTTTGGTGTAAGTGGCCTTGACGGGTTTCTGGGGGAAAACATATATGTCAAAAATTTGACAGGTTAGATGGCCATTTTGTCAATGTAGATATTTTATTTTAATAAATAGATGAACAGAACATACAGTCTGCACGGGATACAGTGCGGCATAGCTGAGGGCAACCGAAACATTCGTGTTGTGCTAGTTTCGATTGCCATATCAACTACCGCTACCAACCGCGTTCGGCGTAAAATACTAGATGACAGGGCTACCAACTTGACTTTTTATCGAGTGGTTCCGTAGAAATGACCGCTACTTTATGTACAATATTTTATTATTATTTAATTTCTTTTGAAAAATGTATTGTTTGATTAGTACAGTGTATCACTGAGTTTGGAGTAGGTTATACGAGTATAACAACATTTTCAGAACAAAAATAGGAGCTGAAAAATGCTCAAAACTCTGTTGCTATGTAAACTGACTATTATTAAAGGCAAAATTGAGTATTTTTGGCCATATTTTTATCGTTAGGCAGCGATACTTTTATAAATATAATTCATTCGCCTTTTGGACCGTATATCTTGAGGTTACATGTCTAGAACTTATTGTCTAATATAACGTTTATCCCCACAACACCAAAAACTCACAAAATATTTGCCGACGCGTTTCGCCAACCACGTTCGTATTATCTAGACAAAGTTAAACTATAGATTAATATAGATGCGACATACAGGCTGATTTTGCAAAACCATCCTTATTGACATTGGAGTCCTCAACCGCCAAAGACAAGCGCCAAATTTAAATAGTCGATGCCAATAAAAAAACTTGTTTCACTACAACTCGTCGCCTGAGAACTTGTTTGATCTACAGACCAGAGCGCGCTCAGGCCAATGTCGACTCTAAGCGTTCAGAAGCGATTTGGTTGGTTTGGAATCGAAAAATCGAAACCTTAAAAAATCGTAAAACTGAAACATTGAAAAATCGAAATATCGAAGAACTGAAAATCGAAAAATGAAACATCAGAAAATCGAGAAAATGTTAAATTAAAAAATCTAAAATTTAAAAACCGAATAACGAAAAATCGAGAAATCCAAACTCCCAAATTTAAAAAATCGGATAACTGAAAAATCGAAACATCGAAAAACTGGAAAATCGAAATACAGAGACATCGAAAAATCAAAAGATCAAGAAATCGTGGGGTCGAAAAGTCGAACAATTGAGAAATCGAAATCGGCCAAAATCGAAAAATCGAAAAGTAAAAAATTGAACAATTTATAAATTGAGAACTTGACAATCAAAATATCGAAAAATCCAAATCTCGATAAATCGAGAAATCAAAAAACTTAAAAATTCGAAAAATTGAAAAATTGAGAGATTGAAAGATCAAAAGAACGAGAAGTCGAAAAGTGATGAAGTCGAAAAATCGAAAAATAGAGAAATCGACAAACAAAAAGTTAAAAGTTGAAAAATTGGAAAAGCAGAAAATCAAAAAACGAAAAAATGGAAAACTGGAAAAACTGAGAAATCGAAATAGGCCAAAATAAAAAAATTGAAAAACTGATCAACCGAAAACCCGAACAATCAAATCTCGATAAATCGGGAATGAAAAATTGAAAAACAGAACATTTAAAACCAGGAAGTCGAAAAATCGAAGAATTAAGAAATATTGAAAAATTAAAATATCAAAAGATTAAAAAAATCTAAAATTTAAAAATCCAAAAATTGAAAAATCGAAAAATCAAAAAAGTGAAGTCGAAAAATAGAAACCTTAAAAAATCGAAAAAATGAAAAATCAAAAACCTGAAAAATCAAAAAATTAAAGAATTGAAGAACAGGAAAATCGAAACACTCGAAGGTCAAGAAATGGGAAAATCAAAACATCGATTAATTGAAAAATCGAAAAATTGAGAGTTAATGAAAGTCAAATTTGAAAAATTAAAAAATCGAAAATTTCACAAAATGACAATTGAAAAATGGAAAATCTAAAACCGGAAAGTCGAAAAATTAAACGATTAAGAAATCGAAACATTTGAAAAATTCGAAAACTTGAAAAATTCAAGCATCGAAGAACTGAACTGAAAAATCGAGAAATCGAAAAATCTAAAATTTTAAAAATTAAAAAATCTAAAATTTAAAAATCGAAAAATTGAAAAATCCCAAAACTGAGATATCGAAAAACTGAAAAATGAAAGAAAAACTGAGAATCTAATAACCTGAAAAATCCGAAAACTGAAATAGCCAAAAACTGGGAACCTAAAAAGTCGAAAAATTGAGCAATCGAAAAATCCAAAAAGTGAAGTCGAAAAATCGAAACCTTAAAAAACTAAAAAATGAAAATTCGAAGAATTAAAGAATTGAAGAACAGGAATATCGAACCCCTCGAAAGTCAAGAAATGGGAAAATCAAAACACGGATTAATTGTAAAATCGAAAAATTGACAGTTTATAAATGTCAAATTTGAAAAATTGAAAAATCGAAAATTTGAAAAAACGATAATTGAAAAACAAAAAATCTAAAACCGGCAAGTCGAAAAATCGATAGATTAGAAATCAAAACATTTGAAAAATTCGAAAACATGAAAAACTGAAATATCGAAGAACTGAAATGAAAAATCGAGAAATCGAAAAATCTAAAATTTTAAATATTGAAATATTAAAATATCAAAAAACCGAATAATCTAAAATTCAAAAATCGAAAAATTGAAAAACAGAAAATCTAAAACCGGGAAGTCGAAAAATCGAAAGATTAAGAAATCGAAACATTTGAAAAATTGAAATATGGAAGAGCTGAAATGAAAAATCGAAAAATCTTAAATTTTAAATATTGAAAAATTAAAATACCAAAAAAATGAGAAATCTAAAATTTAAAAATCGAAAAAATAAAAAGTCGACACATCGAAAAATCCAGAAGTCAAAAATGGAAAAGTCGAAGAACAGAAATATTGAAAAATCCCAAAACTAAAATATCGAAAAACTGAAAAATCCCAAAATTGAAATATCCAAAAACTGAGAAATTAGAAAATTGAAAAATTGAGAAATCGCAAAATCTAAAAAGTGAAGTTGAAAAATTGAAACCTGAAAAAATAGAAAAATTGAAAAACCAAAAAATCTGAAAAATCAATCAGTTGAAAAATCGACAAATAAAGAGTTTAAAAAAGTCAAAAATTGAAAAATCGAAATATTTAAAAATTGTAAAATTGAAGAGAAAATGTGAAAACCGAGAAATTGAAAAATTGAGAAATTGTAAAATCCAAAAATTGAATAATAAATAGGAGTAAACTGAAAAGTCCCCAAACTAAACTTTCGAAAGTTGAAACAGCAAGAAATTATGGTCGAAACCGTTTAGGATGTGTATCAGATCACGGATCATCAAATCGTTTCCGAACGCTTAGAGTCGACATTGGCCTGAGTGCGCTCTGGTTTGTAGATCAAACAAGTTCTCAGACGACGAACTGTAATTCGTGTGACCTGAATTAAAGTGAAGGAAACAGTAAGCAGCTTGTAATATTCTGGCAAATCTAAGTAGT